CTCGCCGCCCCGGCTCGTGCCCCCGGCTCGTCCCCCGTTCCGCTGCTGCCATTGCCTCTCTCTCTGTCCCCTCTCCCGTCCTGGCTGGAGCAGCGGGGGAGGGGAGGAGAAAGAGGGGAGCCCCTTATCGCACGCCCCGCGCCGCTGGGCTGTGCCTGGGCAGTGTTTCAGCACACGGCCGGTGTTACACCGTGTTCCAGGCAGTGCGAACGCAGGTGGGTGTTCACACACAGCCAGTGGAGAGGCAGTGGCAAGCCACCCAGCAGTGGTCCTCGCCACGCGTGATCGTACACTGTGTGAAAATCATGAAATGGCAGGGTGACACGCGTTTGGGCGGGGCCACGGCGCCGCCCTTGCTCACACAGCTGGTGTTGCTCGGGCGAGTGCGGCGGGCGTGTTTGCTGCCCTGGGAAGAGTCCCTGTCACGGAGGGCTGCTCGCCCTCGGGCTGTGAGCTGTGAGCAGGTGAGGACAGCGGCTGCAGGGACACATCAGGCGCCCAGGCAGGCTGCCAGGTCAACACCGTAGGCCATGACTGTCCTGAACATTCCTTTGTAGAGGAAGAAGTGAAGGAAAGTTTACCCGCATACCCTCTTTGAATAGTCATTGAGTCCAGCTTCAGCAGTCAGTGCTTCAAACATTTAAAAACATAAGCAAAGCTTAGAACAAAACCGTTTAAACTACATTTAATTTTTTTTTTTTTTTTGAGTACCTCTGGTTTGTTGCATCTTCTGTTTTCAGATAGGCGGTCAGATCATCTTCCATTTTTCTCCACTCTTAGAGATTGAAATTTAATTACTAGGTAACAATGTGTCTTCAGAGGTAGAGATGATGAAAAATGTTCTGAGTGGCAGCATTTTAATTTTGCTTCTGGTCTGAGCCTCATATCTCAAAAAATGCATATATTGAATACCCAAAGCAATGTTTTGAGCATAGGGCTTTGTATAGGTAAGGCCCATACAGCTTCCAGCTATCGTATTTTCCTGGGAACAGTGTCTATCCAGTAGCATTAAATTTTGGGGAAAAAAATAAACTTTTTTTTTTTTTTTAAAGTGGAAAAATATTTTTTTATGGTAAAGAAATAAAATAGAATTAATGGACCTTTATATATTAGGGCTGAAGCAAAGCACTAAAATTCCGTTCATGTGCCCTTGCTACATTTTGCTGCATCATTTCCTCTCAAAAGATCTGAACATTTTAAAAAAGTTTCCTTCAAAATACCACTTGATTGTCTCAGTCTCTCTCTCTCCCCCCCCATCAGGTAAAGCATTTGAAAAGGCTTTTGCAATAGAGTGGATTAGCAGTCAAAAACTATCATTAACATCTTCTTAGAAAATAAATTAAAAGAAAAAAGGTTTTCTTTATTGTAATGGATCATTTTACTTAATTTTTGCAGTGCTCTTCTTTCATTTTCATCACCATTTTTCTTCCTCCGAGGATACAGAAAGATATCTTCATCTGTAAGCAGCAAATATGAGAATTAACAGCAAACATCCTCCCTGTGTACATAGATGTGGGTGTGAGCTGCACAGTGCGCTAATTAACTCCAGAGTTGGTCGTTGTTTGTTTTAACATTTGCTTCTGCATTATCTTGCTGTGATTTTACATGAATCTGTTCAAATTTCCATTTTTCTCACGTGGATTCTTAAACAACCCACAAAGGTTTTCCGTATGTAGGAGTGCATTCCATACCAATCCTTTTCAAGAAAAAAAAGTGTTTCTTGTTACTTGATCTAGAAACTATACTGGCTCAAATAATGGTTGTAAAAAGGTTTGTTGGTCCTTTTTTTTTATGACTAGTGTATGCAAGATAGTTATGGCAGCAGCACTATAATGACGTTTATGAGGGTACACTGAGAAATAAAATAGGAAAGGGAGTTTAGGTGCAAGAGCAGTTTCCCAGAAATAATGCTTTCATGGCTGATAAAAATAAAGAGTTTATTTACTTGCTGGAAATATTTTCAGGAGTTCCTCAGGATTTTTCTTTAACTACCAAGTAAAATGTAAATGTTGCTGCCAGGGCTCTTGTAAAAATAAAATCATTCTACTTTGTCTAAAAACCCCAAATATATAAAAATTTAGTTATATACTGCGCTTACTAATTTGTAGTCCTGTCCAGGTTTAACCACTTGAAGCTGTACTGAAGGTGAAATCATGGGTTCTAAAGTGGGTAGTGGGATGTCTTAGTTTTTGTTTTCCCTTATTTTTTCTGTTTCATTTAGCCAGCCATTTTTGTAGTATTTTTAGAACAGTATTTGTCATTGAAAGAGAAACTTGCTTGAGTTGGTAAAGTTATTAAAAAGGAGAGATGAAAAGTAATAGGTAATTTGGCTAGGTGACTAAATAGACAGTAAAGAGAATTTTCTACTACTTATTTGTAGAAGTTACTAATACCTATTTCAGTCTTATTTAGACTAGTCTGTATTGCGTCAAAAAATTACTGAACACCTGACTAGTCAATGAGACACCACATTCCTGCTGCAGTGTGTTCATCTTTCTCCATTTTCTTAATTTCTTAACCGTTTGCTTCAGAATGCTTCTGTAATGATTCACACAAGGAATACAGCTTCATTTGCTTAGCATTGCCCCAATGTATATGGTTTTTATTAACAGGCCTGATTAACTGAATATTAAAGGTCTGATTTATTTTTACTAAATAAGAGCCACAGTCATACGAGAATTTGTTAAAGACATGGATTTGTATCAGAACTGTAAAATCTGTTTGCATCTATGGAGAAAAGAGGTGGCTGTAGATATTACAATATTGGGGATATTTCTGCAGCAATCAAGGTCATTACTAATGGTGACTCACAGGATTTGACCAGAGTGTGTAATGTAATGTACTTTATGGTCTGTTTTGTGAAATGCTCAGGCTGAGCAGCAGGGAAGGTGTTTTTCTGCTGGTGGTGTCCTCTGGTTTAGCAGAAACCTTCTTGCTGGAGAAGAGATGGTCTGAGAGTAATTGACATTAGTCTCATCCTACAGACTTAATGTTCTATTTTCATGTAGGCTAGAATGGAATTTTCATGCACTAGCAATATGCTGAGGACACAGCATGAAAGAGCTGGATGGCTAAAGAAGTGGAAAAGACTGGGATGAAATTCAAGGATACAGAATAATTAGGTGCTTTGAGACCTATAAGCCAAACTAGAAACTTTGACTTTATTGTCAGAAGAGATTGAAGAAGAGCTTTGGAATCCTCACAAATCAAAGGATGACTATGAGCTGCCAATATAGCTGTTAAAAAAAAATCAAGTTAGGTCCTCAAATAGAGTAGATCAAGTATTTCCAGTCAAACAGGGAGAGGTGGTGAAATGTAAAATGACTTGGGCTTTTTTGGTATCAAGTGTTAAGACCTGGAGGATGTGCAGGGTGGGAAGAGCTGCGTAAAATAAAGGATAACGTTGCAACCCACAAACACAAAGAAATTTAAAAGGCAATTGTCCATTGGTAGAATTCTTTAGGAGCTTTGTAATTACAGTAATGAGAATATGATTTAGGTTTCCTAAAAGGATTATATGATGTGGTTTCCACAGTAGTGAAAATTATTTGGTTTTTAAGATCTTTTAAAGATTATATAATAAAGAATAGAGGACTAGGTATTTAAATGTTTTAAAATAGAGACAATTCCATGTCCAGTTTTTTAAATTATATTGCATGGCTTACAATACTTTGTTAAGGTCAGATTGTCAACTTTAGCATGAGTGTTCATCTGCCACTTCAACCTGGAGAATCCTACTCTGCAAGTGGGTAGTGGTTAAACATAGCTAAATTATAAGCATCTTTTTCTTAAACCCTTGCATTTATCTACTACTACCTAGGTGTACTAATGCGTATAGTAAAATAAGAATGTATTAGGAGTCATATGGATTGATGAGGGCTACCTACACCAACAATAAATAAAGCAAAAATAAGTCAAAAATAAGACTCTAGTCTGTTATTCTGCTGGATGTAGCTGTGCTTCTTGGAAGTGTAATCTAAGCAATTCTAATGTGTGCTATGTTATGTTGTATGATTTCTGTCACAGAAAGGCTGTCATATGGAATAAAATATCCAGAATCATTATCCAGAATTGTTCAGGATATTACCATTGGAAAGTTTTATAACTGGAGAGGTTATTTAGCAGCTAGCAGAAATGCTAGGTGCTAAATATGTAAAATAATGAGCGAAAACTTGGGTCCTCTAATTTAGACAGGTAACTTCTGTTTCAGAGCCTTGACTGCAATGATTTATATGTTATATGCCTAAATATCCAGACTGAAAATGCACAGACTAAGACTCCCTCATCTCCTCACTGCATGACACTCTTGGATCAAGAGATGCACACAAGTGTCTTACTTTTGGAGTTTTAATTTGCTAGTTTAGATTTTGTAACAGATTGTCATGTTTTAAGCATGTGCTAGAAACCTCTCATTTATTTTTAAAGTAACTCAAGAATAACAAAACCCACAGTCCATGTGAGAATTATATATGTCTTACTCACTTATGTTTGATTCTTGATTCAAATTACAGCATGAAAAATGAGGCATATGGTATTATGCAGCCTGGGAGGAGACAGCAGATCTCTTTTATTTGAGTCTTTTAGGTACACCTCAGAGGAGCTGATTTGAGACATACTGTATTTCATGTTCTTTTTATCTCCATTTAATTATGTATTCCAGGAATAAATTAACATTTTCAGGCTCTCATCAAAGAACTATTTAGGCTATTTTCATTTTTTAATTTAATTTATCTAGTTAAGAAGTACTACAAGAATTGCTGATAACAGTATTGAAAATTTATTAATATAATATGACAATTACAATACATTATTTTTTGCACCCTTGTTGTTTTTTTTTTGGGGTTTTTTTTGGGTTTTTTTTTTTTTTTTTGTTGTTGTTGTTATCTGATGAAATTTGCATATAAGTAGAGAAAAAACAAGGTAGATTTCCTGGACTATGTTGCAATTTTTGTTTCTTAACTCTTTCAAAGGATGGCATTATTCAAAGATAATTAATTAAATCTTTATGGAAAAAAATATGTTAATTTCATTGGACAAAGTTATTTTTCCCTCTTTCTTTTGCCCACTGTTATTACCTCATTCTGTGTTTTCATCCTGATCTTATGCCATCTTTCATATAACCTAAGACCAAATAATTGATTGCTAAGATACTACAAAATTCCAGGTTTCCAGTCCTACATTCTTACAGCCCTTCTGTATTATTCTACATACAGAG